ACAGAAAATTTATTTTTATATAGTTTTCTAATTTCTTTAAAATTATTTTCTGCTAAAAATAATAGCTAATAAGTTCTTAGAATTGTAATTACTTGAATTAAAGGGTATGTACATTATTATGTATGTACTATGTTATGTTTAATATGTTGTTGCTCTATTAGAAAAGTTGTACCAACAATAATGTATGTGGTTATTTTCCTCATATTCTCATTGTACTATTATTAATATTAAAAAATTTTAATTTGATAAGGGAAAATATAATCTATTTTGATTTTCTGTTAATATGAAATTTATAAAACATTTTGTTATTTTAATGTGTTTTTATTTGCAAATGAGATTGAATGTATGTTCACATTTATAAATCTTTTTTTCCTTATTTCCTGATTATGACCTTTGCCTGTTTCTTTAGTGGGGTGAATTTTTTTAACTAGCCTAGAATAGAAAAGAAGTAATTATTTGCATCACAGTTACATTATTTACATCACAGTTATTTACATCCACAAACACTGGAACTAGTCTTAAATAGCCCATTTTGATCAATGACCTCTTTTCTCCCTTGATATTGGTCTTCTTACATGAATACTAGTTTATTATTTCTTTTTATTCTTACTTTTCGTTTGAGAGTTTTTGTTTCAAAACATCTGCAATATTTTTCTTGTCTTAGTTTTATAATATTTTATATAATTTTGAATGTCTAAAATTCTTAAACATACAGTCCCACATACTTGGTTGTTTGTTTCTGTTTGAACCTATGTGATTGTCATAGTACTCTTAATTACTATGTTTGCTGTAGGCACTTTTACGTGCAGAGCAAGAAATATACCTCAAGTATTTGTACTTATTAGGAGATATAGACAGAATAGTCTTTATATTTTATAACCAGACCAGAATTTTCAAGGAGTCATTTTAACTTCCAAATATTTTCTTATTCATAGAGGGAGAGATTTATTAATGGTTTTAAAGTTTGTTATCCTTGGAGACTTTTTCAAGTTTATTTTACATGAACTTCATTTTCAAAACCCCTTCAAATTAAAGGATTCCACATTTAGGTTTGGCTTCTGAGAGGGAGTACCACATAGAAGAAAGTATTATGAGAAGACTTATTTTATTGATAAAATTGCCTAGGATACTTTTAATGTTTTTTTTTAATATATGAGAGAGTTAAAAATTTTTATGATTCTACCGGCTAATCCAAATTCTTGGATTTGCCAGGAACTGATGGCCTCTGATGGTAGTTCATGTTTATGTTTGTTTTTCTGTGTTTGTAGTCCTTTGAGCTTCTGCTAGAAGAATAATGGGACATTTCCAGTTTTACCGAATGATTTTTGCAAATTAGCAGAGAGCAGCTTACTGTACTTGTAATGATCAAATTGTATTTTATTTACTTTCAGTAATGGAAAGTTGTTTTCTAGTTAAATATTTTTGTTGCATAATTTCAGCAACAGTTTGATCACTTTAATGCTCAAATATTGCTCATTGAAAGGAAGTAAATGTTTCTCATTTTCTAGAACAGGGAAATGATTGTACAATTTAATGGACTTTTGTTCATTTTGGAGAGTATCATAATTTCAGTTCCTACGTTTTTCTGATTTTCTAATTTCAATGAGTTGCTCACTCATATAATCTAATATTTTTATTTTATTAAAATTCTACAGTTCTTTAAAGTCACTATGACTTTTCAAATGTAAAATATTTGCAAGTTTTTGGTTCTCAGTTTTTTAAAAAAATTGTTGAATCAATAAACCACGTACTTTTGTTTCTAATATATCTACCATCTACCTATAAATGTCATTTTAAAGCAAACTTTAAAACTTTAAGATGTTATATATAATATTACACTTCAATTTTAGAAGCATTAAGAAATGAAAAATGGCCACGTAGTAAAGAAGATAATATTGTTTCATTGTTAGCTGAATTAACAGTGCATATTGCAGTTGTAAATATTGCTTCACTGAATGTTTTTTCTCTTACATGTAAATACATGGATGAAGATTCAGAATTTCAAACAATAAAAACTTTTATTATCAAGGACAGAATAGAGTATATTCTATCTGGTATTGCCAGTTTAAAAAGAAAACTTGTGAAAATCCTGACTTACTATCTGATAATTTATAACCAGTTTTGTTATTTGCCTTATAAATGGCAATCAGTTTGCAGATCGATCCATCTCAGGATCTTGTCTGAAATCTGTCTTGGATCATGTACAAAGTTGTTCACTTGTAGCTTTATTGCAAAAGTACGTATAGACACAGAAAAGAAAGAGTGAAAATTAGACTAAATACAGCAAAGGCAAAAAATTCACCTTCTACGTAGCTGTTAACTTTTATCAAATTTTATCAGTGATGATAATGTAACTCAGACATCAAAGAAATCAGAATAAACAGAAAGCTGAAGTTGGAACAAGGGCTAACATGAAAACTGGAGGACTACATATCATATTTATGGATTAGAATTATATTCAGTCTTATCACCAAGGCCAATTCATTTGTTTAAAGAAGTGGTCAGTAATCTTTTCTGTATGAGGGCCAATTTCCACATTAATAGAAAGATTATAAAGTATTTATTTTCAGTTACTTGTTTTTGAAAATTACATACTTTTGGGTCAGAAAATACTGTATCTTCAGTATGATTAAGCATTCTTTTATTGCATGTCCATCTCTGAGTAGATCCTTCTTTTGGCTGAAATTTTAGAAACTAAATAACACCTAACATACTAGTGTATAACTATAATCGTACATTTGAATGAATTTTGTTTATGAGCAAAACACTTTATTTGGTCTTGTCTCAACTGTATTGTCTTAACATTATATACTCTAAATATATAAATAGATTTTATGTACTTTGTGTATAAATATATCTATATCTTATATGTGATATTGCATGTATTTTATGTTATAAATATATTTAAATAAAATATATAATTAAATATTTAATATCATATATTTTAAAACAAAAGGCTTTATTTCCATTGCAAATGAGAACATTCTACTACTAACAAGCACTCCTTGGGCCACTTTGAAATAATATAAACTTTGTTATTCACTTATATGTATATTTTCGACAGAAACTAAGCTAAGGATTTAAATTTTATATGAAAAATATTCTCCTCAGTCACACTGCATGTTTACTGCCCCATTATTTTTCCTGTTCCTGAGGCTGTCAGTGAGAACTCATTACCAGCCAGGAAAACCAACTGACTGATTCCTTTCCATCTGTTGGATCTTGCCTGTAGCCAAAAGAGGAGATCAGCAGGGAGCAGAGAGAGGTGCTGGTGTCTGGGCAGGTTCTCTCCGGGCCTCTCCTTGCCCATCTACCAAGTGAGACTGGTGTTGAAATTTGACTATAGATAGTTTGGAATCTGGTGGATTGTCATTTGGTCTGGATGCTTCTGGTTACTTATAACTGACCTAAAGTGAGATATTAAATTATGGTGAAAGCAATTAATTCCTACAAATAAGTAAAAATGTTGTATTTTTAAAAATTTTCACATAGTGTTTAACAGCCAGGATCAATGTCATATGCATAACCAGGGCATAAAGGCTAACATATTAACAACTTAAACCTAAACTATAAATTGAGTTTTATAGTAGATTCAGTAATTATTTCCCATTTTGTACCAGGGGTTGATTAAGCTATGACATAAATCTGGACATGATATATCTTATTTGATACATTTTTTGAAATAAAATTACTCTAAGTACAACTTTCCTGGAAATTGTTTTTACTTTGGTAACTTTTTGATTATCTAAATGACTACAAATAAGTGATATAACTATTTTCAAGGCAGAGCTAGTAAATGTGGTTTAAACATTAAAAATTGGTATTGCTTAATATTTGCAGTGAAAAGTATTGTGTTCTGATTTACATGTAATGCTGAGAGGTTTTCATTTTGTTTGTTCTAGTTGTAGAAAGAGCATTATGTTCTAATATGGGCTTCAGCTTGAATGTCTTTTGGTTATAGATTCTTTTGGATAATGTATTTCCAAATTTAATATTTGTTTAACATGACACAAATGGAGGTAGGAGGATAGAGAGTGAATAATAGAGATAAAGAAGTGGCCAGTAGCACAACTGTATATATCTCCTTTCTTTCATTTTTCATACATTACTGACTTACTGACTGGCTAGTTTTTGTTTAGTTTCCTAAAAGGTCTAAATATTTGGAAAGGTGTGGGACCATGTCCTATTGGAGATTTCAGTGTTTGCTTATGAAAGAAGAAAATTTTGGGGGAATATGACTTCAGAAATTTGGCTTGGGAGTCTTCCTGTATAATTATAATAGGAATTTCTAAACAACGTAGGCAAGAATTTATAGTACTTTTCCAGCTAGTGATTGTTAAACAATAATTGGAATCTGTAGAAAAAACAGTATTTTGCATAAAGTAGGCATTTAGTCAACATTAGTTAAACTAAAGAACATTTTGCTAGATATTTAAGTGCTGTTCTCATAATTCAGAAAAAAATATACAAGCTTTCTTAGACCAAAAAAAGAGAGAACTGCTCTTCAAAATGAATATAAATTTTAGCAAAGTTAACAGTGAAATGTATATTTATTTTTAAAGTTAAAAACTTTCTGAGCCATGTAGTTCAATAAATGAGTAATTTTCCTAACCAATCTTACAAATTCTGAGGTGCAAAGCTAGCAAATTCAGTCAGGCTTTTTGTTCATTTTGCATTATTTCAGTATTGATTTTTTATATTTAGATAAGAATGATGGGGGTGAAAGTAAACAGGGAACAACTGCTTCTCACTTATGTCTATGACTTACAGACACCCTAGCCTCTCCAACAGAATAGGCTACAAGGGACCAGCTTGATTTACGTGCATAGTACAGCTCATATTCATCTGAATCAAGTTCATTTTACTTATTAGGTAAAAGTGGTTACTGCGTCAAGATGATGTGTATCCATCTTATTTGGGCTATTCAGTTTGCTATTGTAAACTTGATGTCAGGTTTCTTAAATCTCTGTGTGTTGTTGTTGTTGTTTATTTCTTTAAAGAGATTTCCCAAAGTTGCAGATGGCTGGCTCATCTCCAAATACCTCTTCAAGGTACTCTATGCTGGTGCTGCCTCCCGCCACTGAGCTGCACGGGAGCATGGAATTGACTTACTGGGGAGGGCTGTATCAGTTAAGTGATCTTTTTTAGTACGTTGCATGGGTTTTGCAAAGCTTTCTGCTTTGTTTTTGTTAATCCAGAGGGCACAACTATGCTTATGCTAATTTTTAAATTAAAAGTTTTTTGTAAACCCACACAATATAATAATCAATTTAGTTTCCTTCTCCTATGTGACCCCCTTCCATATTTCTAGTAAGTTTGATAGTTTAAGCACAATTTTATTAATCAAGCATATCTGTGTTATTTATATTTTATTATAACTGTTAATAATATAAGATTTATTGGTTGTTTTCTCAATTTTGTAAGTGCTTTGTAGTAATATTTTTCTTACATGCAAACTGGGTCTCAAGATAGCTGTGTGAATTGGCCAAAGTCATTTGGCAAAACATACATGGGAGCTGTCAACAGTAACTGTGTGACCATTCTTAAACCACTGATAGGAATATATTGCTTAGCATGTCTTTATTCAAAACTATTTATTGAGTTCCTACTGTATGCAAAACACTGTTAGACCTCTGTACTATTGACCTGGCCTTTTATTATATTTTTCACTTAGAAAAGAAATAGTCATTTTTAAAGATCACTTACAAAAAGAAAGGATGGAAAATAAAAAACAAATGTCTTCTCATTTCCTCCATCCTGATTTGCACAAACAATAACTTTGAACAGTTTCTTTTGTTTTATGTTCCCTATGTATAACCTTAATCACTACTGAAACACATTATGCTTGATTTCTTCAGTGCTACACATTTACCTGTAGCTCTCTGTGTGGACTTCAGCCTTCAGTACTCCAATCCAGTCTACTAGTATTCTAAGCCTCATATTAAGAATGCTGGTGGAAGAACACAACAGAACCTTATACTCTACTTGGAAAGACAGTAAAATTATTGGGATAAAAAAGCCTATTGAGTCAAATTCAGTTTTCAGAGTTTTGGGTGAACCTGGTTATCTTTTTTTTTTTTATTTCTTGGAAGGTTAAGAATTGGCTCATTTGTATGGTGTAGATACATACTTAAGATGTTTTTTTATAAATTCCTTATCAGTGAACAGGACATGAACTATCAGTAACAAAGGATAATAATTATGTTTTATAGATTATGACTGTAATTAGTTGGCTAAATGATTTACTTGAGGCATCCTGTAACATACAGAGCTACCAATATAAGTACAATTGAGTATCTTATCTAGACTCAGACTTCTTTAGATTCAGCTTGAAATGTAATTAAATTTATTATTTAAAGTGTTTAAATTTCTTTTCTTTTTTTTAAGAACATTAACATGAGGTTTTATTTAGAAAATTGATCAAGGTCATAATTTCACTTTCAAAGCCAAGTGATCTAATAAATGTGAACTTCAACTATAGTAGTGCTTTCTTTAAAGGAAAAGATTCTGACCTTGCAGAAATGGTAATTTTCTCCATCTAGTAAAAAGACAGTCGAAAATGTTAAACTGATTTTCATAATTAGCAGTAAGAAATTTAGAATTGCTGCTACAGAATTTAATGTGAAAGGTTAAACATCTAAAAATTAATATAATGGAAACAGTAAATCTACAAATAACCAATTTCCTTTAAGTATGTGAAACTGCAGTGATATTACAGTGACTTACTAGTTTGATGGGTCTTTCTTTTATTGCTTATCTAGATGAATAGCAGCTCCAAGGTGATAGAGCTTTGATGTCGTCATCTAGGTGATAGATTATAACACTAACAGAACTTTAGCTTGTGATACCTGTCCTTCATTGGCTCTTTACATAGCTAAGCACTAATACCAGTGGTGGAGAAAGGAGGTCACTTAACAGATTCATTTGTATTTTATATTGTCAAAAGATGATATGTCATTAGCCACTACTAAATAGAGAACCACTTTGGAAATTTTAGTTCTTGTTTTTAGAAGTCTCATTCTGGCTGTAAAGATATAAGCAAAACACAACATAATGCATGATTTGAATAGGTGTCTAACTTAAATAACATAGAAGAGCAATTTTAGAGTAACATTGGACCTTACAGGTCACAGGCCATTTTTAGTGCTGAAATTGAGGCAATTTAGTGGGAAAGACATCACATAGCTGGTTAGTAGCAGATCACCTGTTAGTCTAGCAAACGTTCACCACTTACTTCTGTGCCTAAAATGAATTAGAGTTGGATTGATGGGTTGGGAATAAGTTTTGAAAAGCTTCTTTAACTTTGTCATTGGTAAAAAGTCGACTTCTAAGAACACATAATTGAAAGCATTTTATACACCTTTACTTGTCAGCAACTTCAAAAAGAGTTAGTGACAGCATGTTTCTTCTCTGGAATAAAATTTCTTCAAAATATAGGCTAGTCAATTTCTTGCTATGTGATTTGCTTTTGTGATTATTTTCAAAGGAAATGAGAATATCTTTGGAGTGATTATTCAATAATTAAAGGCATGATCCGCTTGTAGCTTTGTATTTTAATTTTCCTGTGGAACACTGGTTACAGACTAATTGCCCAAGTACATCTTTTACTAGCAGTTAATCTGTATTTAAGTAAAAGTGATGTTCAAGTAATAATATCTCAAATAACCAATTGAATAGATCTATTATTTTTAATTAAATTCAGTCCTTTTCATAGATGCAGAAATCATTTAATTATTTAAATAAAATCCCAGGATTCACAGACAATGCACTTGCGAGTTTGTTTGGAGGTTCTAACAAGTGAATCCACCTTCTCTTAATCAAAGCCGATCCTTCTGAACATGAAAAATTCAGTGTCTTGATTTAAGCACTTCACTTTGGAAGTGATGTACATAGAAGGGGAAGGAGGGCTGGATCCAGGCAGCCATCCTCATATCTTGTTTGTTGAGTAGATAGAAGTGTTGTGAAGACACTACTGGTATATTTAAGGCTCTGTAAGTCATGGAATATGTCATTCTGTTAATTGTTTATTTTCTCGGTTTGTAATCTAGGAAATCTTGTCATTAACTTTTGGGTAGCATATCCCACACATAGCAGGAGTCCTAAGGATGTAGCGCCCATTCCTTTCCTATTTAACCTAAGCCTACATTTTTAGTTTTTCTGTATCTTTGTTTCCTCTCTTGCAAAGTGGGACTTTGTTGTGTTCTTTTGGTTTCCTATAGCTCTGACTTAAAACTTCTCATAAATTATTTTCCTCAGCCGTGTCAAACTCATGAGAAGGTTTAAAATAAAGTTACCAGAGAAACCTTGTGATTCTCCCTTTGAGACACTGGCAGTGGCTGATACTCCATTTCCAGAGAGAAGGGCTGCAGCTATCCTCCATTTTTAAATTACAGAATGATCCCAATTAATAGAAGCCAAGGAAAATGAGTCACAGCTAGATTTTAGGGAAATAAATGTAGAATCATTGATGTGGGAAAAGGTTGGATTAGGGAGTAAATTTTAAAAACCTTTCTAGGTTTTAAGCAAGTGATGGGGAAACTTTGCATCTTATTCCCACTTTGTTTGTAATGCAGGAGGAGCTTGGGTACCTTAACTATTTGTATGATAATAGTAATAAGACTAGTAATAATTGTTCACATCTGTACTGGTTGTATACAATTGCTGCACATACATTATCTAATCCTCACAACAGTGTTATCATGTAGATAATACCATTATTGTCAGTTTATGGAAGAAACTTGGATTGATAGAGTGGACTCAAGTCATTGGCTCAAGATTGCATATGTAGAAGGTGATCTATATCTGGGCCACCTGGCTCAAAAGCCCATATTCTTAACACTAGGCATCCTGTCTCCTCTCCAAATGGCTAACAAATTGATGACATGAAAATTGCCCTAAAGACAGACCATACTGAGATCTTGTTCTAGGAACTTTTTTTTAACTAAAAAGAGAGGAGACAAAGGAAAATGATAGGGAGAGATTGAGAGAAAGAAGGAAGATTATAAATATTCTTATAGATTTCTATTTGTTGTTGGTAAGATTTGATCTTTAAAGAGACATTTGAGTTACATAGATGTTTGAGTAAGGATTTGTAGATGTTTCTGTATTTTTAGTTATACATAGATGAAGGTAAATATACTTGTCCAGAATATTTGATCATTGTAATCTAGCATACAGACATCTTGACACCAGCTTGTCATTGAGCTGTTACTGTAAAAAGATACTAATTAGATTTTTAAAATTCAAAATTTTATGTGCATTCTAATTAAGATCTATTTTATGCTGATTAACCGGTCCATTTGTTTAATAAATATTTATTGAATGCCTACTGTGAGCCAAGTATTGTGTCAAGTGCTGGAGAAAGTATTAAAGACAATAAGACACAGTCCCTGCCTTAGTGATCTTGCTGTCTAATATGTGAGACAATCATACTAACAGATAATTATAAGGGTAAGTAAGCATAGGGTGCTATGCCAGCACACAGGGAGGGAGTGACTCACTGTAGAGGTGACATGTGGCTTACAAGAAGAGGAGGCCTTTGAAATGGCTGCATGATGAAATAGGGGTTATCTCTCATGATATGTGAGCTTTCTATCAGTTGATTAATCAGAAGCATATTACTAGAAATACCAGGGGGATCTTTTAAAAAATACTAATGTCTAAGCCCACCCCCAAGGATTCGGATTTTTCAGTTAGGTGGAGCCCAGACATGAGTATTTTTTAAAAGAAGCCCAGTTATTCTTACAGGCTGCTGTTGTTGGAAACTACTCAAATGTTATTTCAGACATTGCTCCTGATACAGTGTGTGCAAACAAGAGCACTTTAACATTTTTTGATGTTGCTTAGAGAGAACCTATTACTGGGGAAAGGAAGATTTGAGACAAATATTAATTGAAAATAAAGAAGCAGAGATTTAAAAATATCAAAGCTAATCTCTCCACATTAAGATTAAACAGCTTCCCTAGGAAAGAATTATCATTCCAGACATCTGAAGAAAGTATTGAGATGTTTCTCATATCCTGTTTAAAAGTACTCAGAGTACAAAGTTGTTCCCATGGACCTACTACTAAAAGTTCTACATAAAACTATTACTTCTAATATAGGATACACACAAAAGAACATTTGTTCACGAACAGCCCCATAATTACCTAAATCCAGAAGATTAGAATGGTGAATGCCTGGAGGACTTTTCATGGGTTGGTGACAAGAGCAGAACAGATGAGTGACATGCATCTGAAGGTTAGGGTGGAATGGTAGTGAGTGAGTGGGAATGATTAGTGAGTGTAGGGTTCTCGTTGATTATATGTGCTTGAGAGCAGACATTGTTTCATTTCTCTAAAGTACCCCTGTGAAGAGGAGAAAAAGTGTGTTTTAATTTTTTTCCTGTTTTTCCAAGAACAGAAAGCTTTAAAATGCAACTGGTGACATTTAAATTAATGCTTAACTGGAACCAAAAGGGGGGATATCTGTGTGCTATCTGAAAGATCACGTTAGAATAATAGGATATTAAATCACAAGGGATTTTTTAGTGTGTAGACCCTTTTTGCTTCTTTTAGTTTTATTTTATTGTTGAGAAAGCTATGATCCAGATCCATTAAATAAACTGTGCAAAGTAACACAACTATGTAAAGGTCGACCAGGACCGGCCTTAAAGCTTTTGGACAGTGAGATCAGTGCCCTTTCCACTATCACATACTCTACTGCCTTTTATTTTTCAGGGTTTATTGTTCTTGGGTTTTGCATTTCTAGTCTAGTTTTCTTTTATTTTGTATTAAAATTTGTCTCCTGAAGGTCAAGTAACCTGGTTTGGTTATGAAAGTCCTCGTAGCTTCTGGGACTATATCAGAGTGGCTTGCCGGAAAGTTTCACAGAATTGTATCTGCAGCATTGAAAATATGGAAAATGTCAGTTCTTCTAGAGCTAAGGTAAGGCATAAATAATAATGTGCAATGTGTATAATCTAATCCTAAGCAGTTTTTGACCCAAAGAGAAAATTTTGAACTCTTTGCTATATAAAATACTCATTTTCTTTTCTTTGTTGGAATTAAGCACGTGACCAAATTTAACATCTTTCGGAGGCTTGTTTCATTATTTTTTAGTTGCATGTAGTTGTTTTAGAATGCTCTTGAATCTTCACTGTTGCCTTATAAATTGCAGGAAAGTATGAAGCCAGTCACTATGAATTTCTTTTTTGAGAAGCATAGTAAAATATTCAGTAGTCTCTGAAGTTTCTACATTTTTGAATTACCTAAATCAGTGGCTCTTAGTGTTCTGCCCTCGGGGTCCATAATGTCAAAATTATTTTCGCAGAACACTAAAATATTATTTGCCTTTTGCACAGGGTTAATATTTGTACTGTTGATGCAGAAGCAATGGAGGGTAAGATTGCTGGTGACTGAGCATGAATTAAAGCAGTGGCATCAAACTATACTAGTAGTCATTGATTTTTTCCTCACCATGCACTCAGTCTTAAAAAAAAAAAAGCCAGTGTCACTTAAGAATGCCCATGATGGTGAAATAAGCATTATTAATTTAATTAAATCTCAGCCTTCAAGTATCTTCTTTTTAATATCCAAAATGGGAGCTATGTATAAAGCATTTCTGCAGCATATTGAAATAGGATGGTTTTCTCAAGGAAAAGTACTCATGCAGTAGTTTGAATTGTTAGCTGGACTAAACACTTTATTCATGTAATACTATTTTGAAAGAAGAATATTCAAACTACAGCTTTTTAGACTTACACATTTGGTAAGCATTTCTTAAATAAAAATAAATGAAGTAAGCCTGTTCCTTCAAGGAAAACAGCTTGACGGTATTTGTTGCCAATGGTAAAATGAAAGCTTTCAGGTAAAAATGATAATTTTGGAAAACTTGTAGTATATTCACTATCTTAAGCTTGATAGCTTTCTAGTACTTAAAGACTTCTGATAACATTAATGTTGATATTAGCAAAAATGTATTTATATTGTCTAATGGAATGTTAGATTTGCTTCAAACAGAACAACACATTGTAACGGAGAGAATGGAGAAGCAGATATCCAGTTATCTTTTATTAAGCCATACATTGAAGAGATTTGAAAAAATGTAAAGCAGATACATTTCTCATTAATATTTTTGTTTCGGAAAAGATAGTTATTTTTTCATTAAAAATATGGTTTTTAATGTAGCATATAATGGGTTCATTTTTTTTTCCCTTTCCAGTTTTGACTTGTAACACAGTAAAGGGTCCTCAGAATTTTTAAGATTGTAAAGTCTGAGCTGGTGATGTAAGCTATATCAGCTTTAATATATAATTTTATTTACTTTTTTTACTGGTTTGTCATCGTAACTTTCCTTACTGTTTTTGATATGGAAGAGTTAAAGAATGAAATGTAAGTGGAAACTAAAGATTGAAAATACTAGATATGTACAGTTTTAAGATCAAGACCTGATTCAATTCAGTTCATTATTTGACAATTATAAGCTTATAAATCACATCTGTATAATAAAAAAAATAGCAGTCATCTTTCAAAAGTGTAGTTTCTAAGTTTATTTTTCCTATATCCATTTTTATTTAGGAATTTTTTCTGTTGGAAAATTTTTGGCTAGCAAAATTGACAGAGACTGAAATTAAATATTTTATAAAACATAGACCAAATACTTAATTTTTTTCTTTTTAATTTATATACAGTTTTTAAGGTTACACTCCATTTATAGTTATTACTGGCTATATTCCCTGTGTTGTACAGTACATCCTTGTAGTCTGTCTTACACCCACTAGTTTGTACGTCCCACTCCCCCACCCCTGTGTTGCCTCTCACACTGGTAATCACTAATTTGTTCCCCATATCTGTGAGTCTGCTTCTTTTTTTGTTGTATTCACTAGTTTACTGTATTTTTTAGATTCCACATATAAGTGATACCATACAAATATCTAAACTTTAAAAAACAGGGTTTATAATATTTAAATTTAGTGACATAGTTAGAAATTTAAACATTTAAAAATTCATAGCTATAGAAGTGTATTTTTGGATGAAGTTGATAGTTCAGATTTTGTTACCTTTTGCAGACTGAAGCTGTAGAATTCACTTTGCACAACCGCTGCTCCCTCCTTCACTACTTCTCGCTAATCTCCAACCAAGGGGTTGTCTTAGCACAGGTAGTTTTCTGCTTCAGGATCTTCTAACTCTTTTAGATTAATCAGTTTTCCGCTCAGCCTTACGCATTTTTTCAACTTACACATTGTTAAGCCAATAAATGTCTTCATTTATAAGTCAATTATACATTTTTAAATTGACTTACACATTTTAAAGCCAGTAAATGTCTTCATTTTTAAGTCAGTTAAACCTCGATTTTTTATTAAATTTTTTCTCATAGATATTTGTCTTATTTTTCATTGTATATTAACAGACTTCTTTTTAGTCACAACTGTTGTCTTAGACCGCCCTTTTCTTGAACTATTGAATTTATTCATTTATTTACTTTCTAATTGTCTCATTGACTACAGGTTTTTAAAATGTGCAATTTGAATCTTTTTTGCATCTTAGTTGAATTTGTATCTGTTTCTATAGGTTAAGATTAAAAGACTAGCTGTAACTTGAATGAATTAAGTCTGAAAATGGAAAGTACCGTGGTAGTACACAAACTTTATTTTCTTATCTTCACATTAAAAATAGAGATTTTGACATGAAAAGTGTATTCTAAATCCCTTCAATATAGGAGAGAATGTATTTATAGAATTAGTATATCCCAAAATATAGAAGGTAATTAAGAAGTTAACAAACGTTAGAAATGTAGCATTTTGACCTGGCTGGACCAAAGAAATCCAAATTCCAGCTGACCAGCTCTCTTAGTAAGACACTTGGGACCAGGCTCTGCACAGCAAGATGCTGCCCAGCAGAGAGAATTAATATTTACTCTATAAAAAAACTGGTGTTGAGTATCAAAACATCACAGAACAATCATGTTCCAAATCCTGTATTTATGTCTTTGTTCTGATCAGGTCTCGAATAGATTCCATTTAGTGGGGAGAGATCTATTACTTGCCTGGCTATGTGGGGAAAAGTCTACAGGCAAAGATTACCCCTGTCTTTAAGTAGTTTGCTCTGCGCTGCAATGAATAATCTACTCAGTAAGTCACACCTCCCAAGTGTCAGCATTGAATGATTAAACAAATATCTTAGGTGGCAGATTGAGTGACTGTTCACATTCATAGCACTCTCATTTACTTTTGATACTTGTGATAATGTGTCAGAAACAAAGCACCAAACTTACCTGCTATACAATGTACAACTCTGTACACTTAGGACCAAAATAGTTAGATCTTCACTTTTGAATTCTATATGAGAAGCCAAATTCACTCTAATTACAGTTTTAGGGTTATGTGAACCATGTTTTAAACAGTAGAATATAGAATACACTGTAGAGCAATGACTGATTCAGTACAGAAACATTCTTTAACTTTAGTTGATTTGATTGGATCAAATTGTCTGTGTCCTTGTATCACTGTACAACTTAGATTCACATTGTGGAAACTTGCCGCCGTGAGAGTTGTAATACTTGGTCACTGTAAGCTAAGATCAGTGACATGCAGACCACTCCCTTTATTTGCTTAGTTTGTGACTAGTTGCTCTTATTTTCCAGGGCCTATACGTAGCCTGTCAATGGAATAGAATATTTGTATTGAAGATTGTGTCTATAATCTTTCCATCTCAGGTGTATTTTCAGCTCTTCTTTCTACAATATGCAGGGATTTGGTGACATTGGATTTCTCTGTGTCAACTTATTTAGGTTTCAGACTAGAATTAGTGCTCTTAGAAAAGTAACTTCATCTCAACAGATTATTTCACTGCTTCTGAATAATAAGCATAATGTATGACGTCGGACAGAAACTCTACTAATTGCATTCTTAGTTACTGCTGTTACTCATTTTGCAGATACTTCCACTGGTTTTTCTTGGTAGTCCCACTGATTTCAAGTTCAAGAAATCCTTTTTCCCCTTTAGTTTTGTTTGTTGGTTTTTGGCCTCAAAGTATGAGCTCTATACTGTTCCTGAGTTCTTCCTTCTTCCTGCATATCTTGTGTGGGATTTTTTCCCCCTTTTTCTTTGTTTTTAAGAATGTTACTGTTTTTTAAGTTTTTGTTTTGGGCAAGGTTAAGTTTTGCTAGTTTGTGGTTGTTTTCTCTGTATGTTCTTTCTATTTAATATGGATTTAACATATGAGACCAATTTCCGAGTATACTAGTCTCATCACCCATTCATATATCCATGCATCCTTCCGCCTGAATTTTTATGGAGCATCTATACCACATCAGAACTGTGAATGTAGTCCTTAGTACATTCTGATGACATGTATCCCTAATCCTTTCTAGTGTTTTCCTGATCTCATTTTGTTTACTTTTACCCTTGTTCAGAAGCTGGCCTTGTCAGTGCTTTGTCCCAGTGCTTGGTTAGCCAAGTTTTCTACTGAAAGAGGCAGAGAGGCTGTTAATCACAGATACACCAGAGTTACTGAATACTAGAACTTTACAGTAAGATACCATATTGCAAAGAGGCCATAAATTTTCTGTGTTCATTTTCTGTTACTGACTCACAATTCCACCCACCTCCTCTTTTAACCACCGCTTGGCTTTTCCTATCCCTAGTTCTTTATTGTGGTGGCCCCAAAACTGGAAGTTGAACAAATTGGAGAGGACCTGCAAACACTCCAGGCTTTCATTTGATACCCCAGAAAGCCAATACCTAGGGAGTGAGGGAAATTTAGATGAAGACCAGCCCCCCAAAGATCTAAAAGTGGTGTCCTTAAATGGTGCAGGGTGGTTTTCAAGTACACTATCTGTCTATCAGAAGAAAAATAAATCTACTCTAGAGAAAGGTAGCATTAGAGCTGCCACATATTTTCCTCCACAGTGTCCAGTATTTAATCAGAAATCACCAGGCATATCAGAAAACAAGATTAAATGACCAAAACTAAGAAATAAAGAAGACAATTGAAACTGACCTGTGTGAGATACAGGTAGTGGGCTTTTAAGTAATTATAATAGGTTCATTAAAATACTAATAAAGATTAATAATACTAGAGAACTAGAGCATATAAGAAAATCAAAATAGGAAACTATGGAATATTCACTCTTATAGAACTTATACAAAAATCCATCATTTGCTAGGTTGTAATTCACCTCAGTGAATTTCAAAGGATTGAAATTGTATAAAGTATATTCTTTAACCACAGTAGAGTTAAGTTAGAATCAGTAATAAAAAGATAACTAGATTGTTGAGTTGAATTTGAGGAGGACTTCTTTAAGTTTTTTTTTTTATCGAAGTATAGTCAGTTTACAATGTTGTGTCAATTTCTGGTGTACAGCACAATGTTTCAGTCATACATATACATACATGTATTTTTCATATTTTCCATTATGGGTTGCTACAAGATACTGAATATAGTTCCCTCTGTTATACTGAAGAAACTTGTTGTTTACCTGTTTTATATATGGTAGTTAGTATGAGAAGGACTTCTGAATAACTCATGGATGGAAGAAGAAATTACAAATTAAATTGAAAAACCTTGAAAGTAATGATAATGAAAATATAACATGTAAACTTGTGCTCAGAGGAAATTAGATACGCTTAAAAAGACTTTTATTTAAAAAAAAAAAGAATAAAGGCTGAAAATTCAGTGATCAAAGCTTTCGTCTCAAGAAGCTTTAAAAAGAGTAATAAACCCAAAGTAGAAGGAAAAAAATAATGAAGAGCAAAAATTCAATTAAACTGAAACAAACGTATACTAGAAGAAAATCAACAAAACCAAAAGTTAGTATTTTTAAAAAGATTAATACAACTAATAAGCTTCTAGCAAATCTATTCATGAAGGGAAAAAAAAAAGATTATAATTTACCAGTATCAGGAATGAAGAAGATGCAAGCCCCGTAGACCCTACAGACATTAAAAATCCTAAAAGAGGGTATTATGAATAACTTCACGCCTGTAAACTAAAAATAAGTGAAATGGGAAAATTCTTTGAAAAATATTACTTACAAAATTAACACAAAATGGAAGAAAATACCAGAGTATTCTGATATCTACTAAAGAAATTGAATCTGTAGGAAAAAATCTTCCCTTTACAGCCCACTTTTAAATTCAGTTATCTTTTTCTTACGGATTTGTAAGACTTCTTTGTATTTTACGAATAAGAGTCTTTTTTCAGATACATATAATGCAAATATCTGTCCACTCTGTGATTTGTCTTTTTACCCTCTTCAATGATTACAGTTTATCCCCTGAAATAGGAGGGAAAGTACAGTGTATGTGTATTAATTTAATTAGGTTAGTCAGTTTGGTGGTGAGATGAGTTTCCTGTCTTCCAGTTGAGTCTGTTTTTTGTTTCCTCATAAAGTAAGTGTAGTATTGTGTATTGTAACCTAACACACACAATTCTTGAGAGGATTAAATATCTTAATGTAACTGAAGCTCTTAAAACAGAGCCAAGCACATATTAATTACATTCTTAAGAAGTGTTGACCAACTTCAATAATTTTTTTTCAAAAACCTTTAATGGCAAACAAACAAATATTTGTGTCTCTAAAACAACCTTCAGTGGTTCACCACTGTCTAACTGATAAAAAGTCTTAAGCCTAATTTTGAGCTTTTCCCACCTTACAGCCCCAGCAACCTTTATAAGTCTGTTTATCTTCTGTCTCTTTTGTTGAAAAAAAAAAAAGAAACTATTAAAATCAGCACCATTTATTATGATAATATAACAGAGAACTCTACAAACATCCAGGGACAGGAAACTCCGTGCAGCCTAGTTTTGTATGGATTGAAATTAATAAATCAGGAAGCAGGACTTTCCCCCTGCATTTCTTATCTAACAATAGCACATTTCTCTGGAGAGCAGCTTTCCCTGCTTCTGTTTTAAAATGTAGCCTTTTGGTTCGAGCCACTATTATTAGTCTCTGAGTCTTTCAGATGTAACTTTAAGGAACTTGAGACTGCTGGCTGGTTTTTGCCTCTTCCTTCCTCTGTTCCAATCAGCTGCGCCTAATTGTAGGTTTCCCTAGGCTTATTCAGCAGGAACAATGGGCTGAGTACTGGGCAAGCTAAAGAGATGTTGAGATTGGTGAGCAAATTGACTGGCATATTAACCACACCCGTATCATACCTTTATTTCCCACCAATGCTGCTGCTTCTAGCCTGCCACGTTTTACCACTGTCTGGATTAACTCGTTTTTGATCCTCCCTGTCCCACAGTTTGGTGAATTAACTAGACTTTTAGACATTTCTACAACTGTAGACTCTTCAGTACGTCCTTTCCCCCATCCTGGTAGTTGACCATCATATATATTGAATAGTGCACCTTAGTTCTCAACTGCCAATTGCAGTGCTTTGATTTTCTGTATAGTTAATCTTCATCGATTTATGAAAGGGTTGAGTGAAAATGAAAGTCATTGAAATACAAAATTCATACTGCAAATGTAATCTTTTATATTCTTTCATTCTAAACAAAGAGTCCAGAAGAAATGCTTTGGATTATAAAAAGAATGTAACTGGCTAGTCCTGACTATTGAATGATGTTATCCCTTTTCAAAAGTAAAATTAAATTATTCATATTTAGTCAGAATTGCATGTTTCTGTTATTTTGTTCTAGAGTATGCTTCTGGGGTATTTTTGTTGTGGATTTTTTTTCCTGGTTTAAGTTTTTGGAATGCTCTGGGGGCACCAGGTTTTGTACCTCATAATTTGGATGCATGATAAGTAATGAAATTTGGTTCATTATTAGTTGTCTAAAACCTCCTTCTGGAAGGACTTGTAAACAAGTGGTGTGAAAGTGATTATTTTTATTAAATGAGAATGGACTCTTTTCCTCATGTTTTATATGGAGACTCATTTTAATTAGCATATTGGTGGGCATTGAAGTAGAGAGATGTCTTATGATTACATTATGTAATTCAAAAGAAGTCTGTAACTCAGGTTAACTCAATATTAATGGTTCTTTCCCTTCAGACATTAGACAGTTAATCTGACATGCTGTACCCTACACCTTCAGAGAAACAAAATATATATTATATACTGTATATAATTATAATTTACTTCATTTTATCTAAATATTCTTAGTCTTTATCAAATGTATATTTTGAGTGAATTACTCTTTACATATTAAAATGCTTATAGTTTTGATGATGCAGTAGACAAAATATCTTTCAACTTCTAATTTTTTTTTTCATATTTGATTCTTTCTTCTTCTTTTTAGGGTAGAGCCTGGATCAGAGTAGCACTCATGGAAAAACATTTATCTGAATACATCTCTACAGCTCTGAGAGACTTCAAAACAACCAGGTTTAAAAGTCCTTTTAATTTTCAAATATATATTTAAAAGATTCACCTGAAGACTTAGAAATAAAAATAGAATGAAGACTCATTTGTTTCTAAAGTCTTCCTCTATTTTATTTCTTCCTTTTTGTACTCCTCAGATAAATCTACTATACTATCTTCTCAGGAAAATGCAATTTGTCAACTAAACATACCTCTACCTTGGCTTATCTTTTCAGGCTTCACATTATGCCTAGAATATCTTTTTTTCTGAATAATTTCTTATTCTTACTTTTTCAACACTTGAAGTTTCATTCTCTACACAGACTTTCCTAACCAATCTGAAGAAAAATCTAACTATGAAATTCCTGTAGCATTCTTTGTCTTTCCAGACTACAACATTTATTTGATTACTTTAAAGAAAAAATGAATCATTCACTTCTTTAATTCTTATATATAATTAATGACTGCTCAGTTGTCTTTTTAGAGCAGTCCCTACGAATGTTCTTGTGTGGGGTAGGATTAAGAGATGGCACATTGTGTCATGTGAAAAACAGGACCTTATTAATTTTTTTTATGATAATAGAAAAAAGGTTCATATTAGGACAACAGCCATTCCTATTAAGCTCTGGTCTTACCAATCTATATTTATAGCATTTGTTGAAGAAACCTCTTTTTTCCATTTCAAAAGTATTTGCAAATGAAAATATTCAATGATTTCAATATCCTAGGTATATATTATTCATTACAGTAGCTATATAAGTTAAAATTAAGATTAAATAGAGTTATTGATTCAGTTCTTCAGTTGCTTTATCACAGTCCACGTGTTCACTCTCCCTGTGTGGCTAATGGATAACAAATTAGATAGCACTGATGTAGAGCACTGCTTCGTGGCAGAAAGTTCTGTCTGAGAGCACTGCCTTAGGCACCTCTAAATTACCATACTTATTTCTGCCTTATTACTTATATTTCTGAAAGAGAGGAAGAGAGTGACAACTATAAACCAGTTTCGACAGAGAAAATTAGGCATATATATACAGAAATTGTGTATCTGGAATCTTAATTTCCGTGTCCTGATGCAGTATTTGACATTTTGGATTTTGAGACAATCTGGGCATTTATTATGACACATTCTTTTAGCTAACTAGATTGTACAGATTACAATATCTTTAATTAGGTGTCTACATTTTTAGGTAATAAAATAATTTTTTATTTGGAAGATAACAAAGAAAAAATTATCATGATTATAAATTTGACCAGGATATAAAAACTTTTAACTAAAAGAAGTATTTGCATGAAATAAATCTGATATATTCTTACTGAATTCTTTTAAAGTAGTTTGCTAATCTTGGGGTATTTCTAAAAATGGACAGTGAGTTGATGATAAACTCTTAGACATTTGAAATGAACCTTATGAAATGAAGCATTTGTTTCTTTTATTTATCACCACCAGTATATACATTTAATTATCCAAGATACTAAATATTGAGGATCCTAAGGCTTTGAAAATAAAAGTAATATCAGAATCTCATAGATCTAAAAATCCTAAATTAATGAAATCAAAACCAAGTTTATACAGTAATCATCTCCTGTTCAATAATGAGGTTGCATCAAAGTTATGATAGTCTTTTCTACGTAGAAATTAAAGTATTAATAATCTCTGTAAGTTGTTAGTCTTATTTCTTAGTTTATACAATTGGGTGGGGTAGAAAGAATACTTGAATAGACTATTTTTAGAGTGAGTAGTTTAAATGTTTTAAGGAAAATGTTTTTTGCTTTGTTCTTAGGTGTTAGCCATCCTTTTGGAAGAAAAAAAGTGATTCAGCTCTAAAACAGCCCATAAAGTATAAATATTCTTGTAACAATATATAAACATGTATTATTTAAACAGAAACATGGCTTAGTATATGTTTATACACAGAGAGACAGAGAAATATGTAATGTTTACATGTATATACACACACAGTATTTGAAAGTGACTATAGTGGCTCTGTAATTTTCAAGAAAGGAATTAGAGAGTAATTTTAGAATTCTCATTCTAGAAGTTAACTAAAAAATGCAGTTACAAAAAGGCAGTCTGTCTTTTAACTTTTTTTTTTCACTGAAATCAAGCCAAAGAAACTTCTTGATTATAAATAAATTTGATTGTGAGTCCCTAGCAAAACACATATTTGGAAGATTAGGTTTTTAAAATGACAGGCATAGTATTGGAAAGAATAGTTATACCTTACCTTTTGTCTGGATGCTTCCTGACATAAGTGCTTATAGAACAATGAGAAATGATCTCTAATTCTTTAGGAATCTTGAGAGTATCTGAATCAAGTGATTTCTTCTTGTTCTACTCTTCACAGTTAAAGAGTAATGAGATCCTTTAAATGGTAATACAAGTGTTTACCCTAGTACAGAAGGAGGAGCTACATGAGCTAACACGGCAAGCTTGAAGTCACTAATCAGTGGAAATCCAAGGATAAGATTGGGTTGAGTGATTGTGGGGAACAAAACTAAAATAAATCTTCTAAAGTACATTATGATGGCTCCGAAGTATTAGAGAAATTCATGTGATCCTTTTGCTATGGTGGAGGATGTCTTGGTGAGCAACTGGAAAAACCCTTGGAGAGTTTCATGGTTTAGTAATTGGAGTGTTATTAGGAAATAGCCAGAGGTGAGAAGCTGACAGAGTCAAGATAGAATCCAAGCAAAAAAAAAAAAGTATAAAATTGTTTTGGTAGGTTGCTGTAAAGGCCTAGAGATAGAGAAGTAAGGTAGAAGCTGAATTATTTTCTCAAAATTTTAATTTCTCCCTACCCCCAGCCTGAAAAGTTAAGCTAAAAAATACAAATGTGACATTTGACACAAGATCAAAAATATTCTGGAAGGATATGAAGTAACAACTGTGGAAAATATAAAGTTAGAGATAAAATTACTTTATGGAGTCCTGTTCATTAGTTTGCAGTTGCCCTACAGTTCTACCTCATTTATAATGACAAAAGTAGTGTTCAGAAGAAATGTTAATCTTCTCAATATTATAGTAGGAGTAGGAGAAGGAGTAAAATATAAAACTTCAAAAATTACTGAGCTGTCACAGAATGGGGAAAGAATGAGGTGATACACACTTTTCTAAAGTATATATACTTGTATAAAGTATATGTACTTCTATATATATACTTCTATAAAGTATAGAAAAGTAGATAGAATAGTGATAAATTACCAGGTCTTTCAAGAGTTAAGACTTTAGAGATTTGAATTTATGTAAAAGTTTAACATTATTAAGATGAAACAAAACATTATTAAAAGGTGCTTGTGTACTGCTACCACACAGTATATACAAGAATTAACTCAAAATGGATCGTACTTAAATGTAAAACTCTTAGAAGAAAACATAGTTGTAAATCTTCAAGACTTTGAATTAGACAGTAATTTCCTAGATATATCACAAGCAACATAAGAAACAGATAAATTGGACTGAATCAAAATTAGAAACTTTATGCTTCAAAGAATACCATCAGGAAAGTGAGAAAAATGACCACAGAGTGGGAGAGCATATTATCTGATAAGGGACTTATATCTGGAATATATATGTAAAGAACTCTTATACCTCAGTAAAAATTTTTTTTAAATTTTAAAATGGGCAAAGAATCTTTTTCCAAAGAAGATGCAGAAGTGACCAACAAACTGCACAACATCAGTAGCCATCAGGGAAATGCAAATCAAAACTGCACGATACCACTGTACACCTGCTAGGATGGCTACAATCAAAAGAACATACAATAACAAGTATTGGCAAGGATGTGGAAAAATTGGAACCATTATGCACTGATGGTGGGAAAGTAAAATGATGCCGCCACTTTGCAAACCACCTGGCCATTCCTCACGAGGTTAGATGTAGAATTACCCTGTGACCGAGCACTTGACTCCAAGATATGTAGATGTAGATGTAGGTATGTATATCCAAGAGAATTGAATCCACATGTTCATAATAAAATGTGTTTACAGATGTTTCATAGCAGCATCATCCATAATAGCCCAAACAGGGAAACAGCCCCACTGTCCATCAACTGATAAGTGAGTAAACAAAATGTGCGTTCCATACAGTGGAGTGCTATTCAGTCATAAAAAGGAATGAAGAGTTTCTCCTGACGCTTTTGGTGCTTGCCAGTGTGCTTGTTCTATGGGGCCTGGTGCCTCTGTTGAGAAGCTGTAGCTGAGGAGACTGGAGCTCTCCAGGGCCAATGAAAAGCCCAAGGAGTCAGGACTGAGAACAACAATTATATTAACTTGAAGGTGGTAGTGCAGGATGGTTCTATGGTGCAGTTTAAGATTCAGAGGCATACAATACTACTTAGTAAACTGATGAAAAGATTTTTGGCAGTGAGGCAGATCAGATTCCCATTGAAGGGTCGCTAGTCAATGAACAGACACATCTGTACAGATGGAAATAGTGGAGGAAGATTCAATTGATGTGTTCCAGCAGCATACAGAAGGTGTCTACTAAAGAGGGAAGCTGCTGCTTTATCCCAAAACTCTGTTCTTCCAGACCAAAAAGACATTTTCAGTTAGAAAACCCAATTTGATTCTACCACATCCTGACTACCAAAGTGTAGCTTCCCCTATTCTTTCATTTCCCCCTTTTCCATTCCTTTCTTTTACATAAAGTAACTGGTATATGTACACAAGCATATTGATTTTTTAAGTGACTGGCCATTGATAATGTTTTGATTGACTTCAAATGGAGATGGGATGGGGAAAAATACTTCTGTGAAAATACCCCCTTTCTCCATGCTCGTGTGCTTCAGCTGTTACCTTTTTATTCCAGTAAATTATTTTGCTTTCATTGCTCAACAACAGCAACAAAAGAACAACATAAAAGTCCTTGTATACCTTGTTCATTGGAGAATTTTAATGTTTTTAGTTCATCATTGTAAAGCCAAGGATAATTTTATAAATTTTTGTAATAGCTGTTATTTGTAGAGGAGTCTGTCTTTAAGTAGGCATAAATTACTCTAAGGGAAATGAATCCCCAAGAGTTT